ATATTATTAATATATTAGTTTATAAAAACACAAGTCATTTTATAAATCTTGATACTGCAAAAATAGCAGCAGTGGTTTTTTGTTATTTATACCATGGTAATGGCTAGAATACTCATTCAAGATCATGGCCCCATTCTGCTGAATTTTGCTCCAAATCAGCAAAATCTTTTTTCCATCTCAGCTAAGGATTTTAGAATTCAGATAGATACAGAGCAAGTAAGAAAGAGATTTCTGTTATGTTAGTTTTCCGTTAACCAAAAAAAAGCATATTTTCCATTAGAACACACTTTACTTTAAACCCCCTACATGAAATAAAGCAAAAAAATCAATACCTCCATAAAGACACAGTATAACTAAGAGGAGTAGGATCACACCTAGAAATGCCAAATGGTGGCTGCTCTGATCAGACAGCCGTGAGATATTAAAAGACTGAATAAATAGAAAAGCTTTAAAGCCATAGCAGTCACCTCACTAAATGCATCGCAGTTACATTCTCAGTCTGGAAAACATTGATACAGCTCTCTTCAACCTCTATTTTCAGGAGCGACAAATACATATTATTCATATGTTTTTCCATAATCAGTCCTTCATAATTTCTCCCAGGAATTACAGTGTGGGTGAATATTCAGAGTTTATATGTTAGTCAGGAAAACATTTTGTGGTTCTCAGGGCATATTCAGCACTGTGAAAACCATCAGCACTTCACTGCAGGCACTGGGAACCTTCTTGCTCCAGAGACATCAGTGTTGCAATCTCATTAGGGCCTCAGCACACAGCAAATAAAACTGGACGATAAACCCTACCACACAGGCTTCACGTCTAAAGTCAGCAAAACCAGGTGCTGTGTAAACGTGAACAGCCTGTTCACAGCTGCACCACCGAGTCCCACCATGCCCATCACCAGGCACTTGTCAGCAGATGGCAGCAAAACTATAACCAAAATATTTGGGAGGGCCACTAAGAAATGTGACCAGCACTTGGTCTGTGTTTTCTAGAGTCATCTCTGTTTCTGTAGGCAACCCGAGACGAGACCGAAGAGGTTAATGCACAGCTCGCTGAGCAAGATGCCACAGATCTGTATAAAGTAAGTGCAATTGTGGAAAAATCCCCCTTTGCCCCATGCTGTGCAGCAAGGGCTGCCTCAGGGTGACTAAACACACCAAGCATGAGGGCAATGACAGCATAATGAGATGAGCAAGCAGGGCCCTGGCTGGAGCTTGGTGGATCAAGGACTCTGTCTGACTTTTTGTCTCTACTGTGAATAAACAAGTGTTTCAAAAAATAACGTGTGATCTTTAAGGCAGGAGAAGACCGCTGGGGAACAGATGAGCTGGCTTTCAATGTGGTCCTAGCAAAGAGAAGCTATAGTCAGCTGAGAGCTACTTTTCAAGCCTATGAAAAGGTAAGTTATTATCTTCTGCAATGTGGGTTGCATAGGGCCTGACATGTAGGTGCAGATCCCACAACAGCATGTAATGATCTTAAGTGCTTTTTCCAACCTAAATGAGTCTGTGTAGAGTAGGAAACCTTTCTTTGACATTTTATAACTTCTTGAATGCCCTAAGAATCATGGAAACCAATTTTATACAACTGCATCCTGAGCTTACAGAAATAGGAGATGAAAGATGTGTCTTCTGCCAGTGAAGAACCTATTCCCCTTCATAACCTACACAATGTCCAACCAAATAAATGTTACAGTGCCATTTCCTTCCCACAGCTGCACAACAGTGTTATCCCCACTCCTGCAGCAAAGGGACAGGTTCACAAACTCCTGCCCTAAAGCAAGGCTTTGCTTTTCTGGTCTTTTCCTCTCCTCCTCCAAAGCAGGTCTTGGCAAGGTCTCTCCTCCTGATCTCCTCAGTTCTCACGCTCTTATTGGCTGAGCAGGAGCACATCTCCAGCCTCTTCCTCTCTGCCCACACCAGGCAGATAGCCTGTGCAGGTGCTTTGCTGTGCTTTTCTCTGTCTCCAAACATAAGGCAAGGTAGGCAGCAAATCCTCGCTGTGGGGTACATCTCCTTGTGTCACTCACCAGGGACATTTTACTCATGCCTGACCTCCACTGAGAGGTCTTGCCTGGACATGACCTCAGAAAGTCAAAACAATGGGAGATCCAAGGTCCTTCTTCTGGCATCGAGGTGGAAGCTCAGCAGTAGCATTTATTCTCAGGAAAGGGTTCCTCTGGCTCACAGTCCTGAACTTCCCTGGGATGTTCATCAGAAGCTCATCATGTTGATGAACATGATGACTCAGATGTTCATCTGAGTTCATCAGAAAACTGTAACCCTGGGCACTGAAGATGAAAAAAGCTCCAGTCAAGGCCATGTTTCAGTGTTAGCGTAACAAGGAACCAATAGTTGGAAAGATGTTTGCAGCTTAATCCACAATTTGAGTTGTTACTGGCAGGAGAGCAAACCCAGTCACTAACTGACAGTGTCTCCCTCAGAGTGGCCCAAACCCTGGGGGTTCAGTTAAATGCTGTTAGCCAAGCTACCTTGGCTTTTTGATTCTTTAAGCCAAGCCTGGCAGTACTTAAAGTAGAAGTGGGCCAAGATTAGAGCCCAAATCATGCAAACATCGTGTCCTCCTCTGCAGCTGAAGAGATAAATAGGGCAAGATCTAAACCAGGTTGGTGATTTGCAGAAGTTAAGCCCTAAATGCTCAGACGGTGCCTGTGCAGCCTTGTATGCATGGTCTCCCAGCTCTGACCTAAAAGTCAGAGTCTTGAACCATGCAGGGCCATCCTGATAGGCAAAACAGAACAAAGTAAAACCCTCTGTGGTTCCTGAAGTTCACAAAAGTCAGGATAAAATCAGGTTTGAAGTGGCAGTTTCCTTTTCACCTTTCCTACATAATAATACAAAAACATGTGGACAACTGCAGTGCCTGTAAACTTTCCCTGGGAAGCCAAAGACAATAAGTAACAAAACTTCACAGAGCTGGTAAAGCTCCAAAAATTATCTTATTTGTGTGGGAGACATCCAGAGCCTTTGATACAGGGACTAGAGAAAGCTCAAGTAGTTCCTCCTGACTAGGGGTCACTGACAGAGAAGCTGCAGCTTCTTTGTCCTAGAAGGTCTCAGATATGTGTGACTGCTTGATGTAGGTTATCCATCTCTTGACCATTATGCCTTACCTGGCACAAGACCTTCTCTTGGTGCCAGTGGATTTGTGAGCACTTACACCAGAGGAGAACTTAATTTGCCCTTGAAAAAGGCTTTTTGCCCTTGGAAAGGCTCTAAAGTATTTGAATTGGCCTTTTGCCATTGGATCCCAAATCTGGTGCTGGTTTTATGTCAGTGGGATGATGTGCACAGACAGCAGCTCTTATGGCTCCTTTTTGTTGTCCTCATAGGTGTGTGGGAAGGACATAGAAGAATCCATTAAAAGTGAAGCGTCTGGAGATCTGGAGAAGGCTTATCTGACTCTTGGTAAAAAAAGAAAAAAGTAGTTTCAATACCTTTCTTTTCTAGTTTTTGCCATCACCTGACTAGTTGCTGGGGGTCTGTGTACAGCCTGGCAACAGTCATCAAGATAGCCCTAAACTGAGCTGACATACCTGCCAGGAAAAAAAAAAATCAGACAGTTTTCAGCAGTGACTTGTACTCCTTGATTTTAGAAATAAAACTTGCCAGACGCAGCTCCTCTCCACACAGTCAGCTTACTTGCCCTCTAACACGGGGTGGCCACCTTCAAGCTGCCCCTGAAACCATGGCTGTTGCTAACTTCCAGTGGATGCCTGGGCATTGTTGAAGTGTGCTAGCCACCACAAAAATGTGCAGGGTCCTCGACATTGGGTTGACTGTGACGACTATTTAAGCCTGTGCCATGGCTCTGGTTAGCTTACTGGTATTGCTGTTATCCATCGGGATCTAGGCTCCCCCAAATATTCATCTGGTGATGGGCAGAGTGAGCAGCTACTCCAAGAATAGATGGGCAAGAGGGGCAAATGTTCATTCTCATTCTTCATTTTCACTGTGGAATGGCAGAGTACTCAGTGCTGACAATCTCACTGTGTAACATACTTTCCCCATGGAAAAATGTACATCCCCATTCAGACTCCAAGATTTCTCCTTGCATTCTGATAGGGGATCAGTCTCAGAATGGAAGCCCTGCCAGCTCACATGTCTGAGCACAAACCCTAGAGAGTTTCCTTTATTTCTTCCTTATTTATTTACTTCTGCTTGAGGGTGTATCACAAAGTGTAAATATACAAGTATAATGAGGCCTCTTACTGTTTTCTCTAGTCAGCTGTGCCAAGGACTGCCCAGGTTACTTTGCCACACTTCTGCATAAGTCAATGAAAGGAGCTGGGACAGATGAAGAGACCTTGATTCGCATTCTTGTGACCAGAGCTGAGGTAGGGTATCCTGCAACCTGTAATGCCTCACATCAGTGCTGGGAGAAATACAAATGTAGAGGGTATGGAGTGAGCCCTGATAGATCATGTGCTCAGTAAACCCTTTTCAGCCCAATGACATCAGTGGTCACACTCTGCTTCTGTACCCAGGCAACTCCAATTTTGATATTGCATCTATTTCTGTTTTCGAAAGAACTAAACCAGGAAGCATGCAGGCAATTTCAAGTGGAGTCAACTGTACCTGCATAATACTAACCCATGGGGAGGTCTGGCCCCAATAGGATGTGTAAAAGTATATTTCTCGTTAAGTAATGATAAAGCAGCAGTTCCCAAATTGAGAATTGCTTATAAACATATGTTGCCAATTTTCTCTGATTCAAGCTGGGAAAAACAGATGGAGAGGAGGGAAGCAAAATAAAAAAGCACAAAACTTCACAAGACATTTGAGATTTTAAGCACAACCTCTAAGATTTCCTTGTAAGATGCACAGGTTGTAGCCCCAGGCTGTTTCAGTTGAGGAGGAGCTTTTCACAGGGACAGGAGAGCATATTTCTCAATGATCCAGCGTGAGAAATTAGGCTCCATGGTATTCTCTCTGTTAAGACACCATCAAATCATTATAACATTGAAAACCCACAGTGATAAAGATCAGACCTGTGCTGTAAGTGGCTTTCCACAGGAAAGCTTGAGACAAGTTTAATTCTCCCTGCCTAGTAAGCAGAAAAATCACTTCCATGGGTGGAACAAAACTCGCTTTTAGCCATACTCCTGAAGAGCCTCTTTCTCTGCTTGCGGAGTGGCTTCAGGAGTTCACAACAACCTGTGTGAGTTTTTCCAGTACCAAGACTGTGCCAGCACAGCACCACTGGGCAGAGATTCCCCCAGCCACCTGGCATGGCTTTCCACCCAGTTAGCATCCCCTCAGCACACCATCTGACATGGGCTTACCTCAAATCTGAATGTTAAGCTGAAAGTCCTCCAAGATATTTAGACCTCCTGTTTTCACCTCTCCTCCTCCCACTGGGTGCGGTGGACCTTGGATCAGACCCCAGGTGTCCTGGTAGGAGCAGGGCACATTACTCAAAGCATGCACCACTCTTCTAAAGAGGCTCTTGGTGTCTCCTCAGAGCGACCTGCCAGCAATAAAGGAGAAGTTCCAGAAAATGTACCAGAAGTCGTTAGCTGAAGCTGTCCGATCTGATACCTCTGGAGACTTCAGAAAGTTGCTGCTGGCAATTTTGCACTAAAAAGCCATCAAGAATGAAAAGGCATGCTGAGCAGCCACCTCTTGATTAGATTCCAAAAGAGCATCCAAAAAATGTGGCATTAGCACAGAGAAAAAAATCCAATTTATTTTCTTTCCAGCTGGGAAATGTGTTGCCAAGTAATGCTGGATGTGAGGTTTATGTTATGGCTATCTTGCCAAATGTCCTTAAGCAATAAAGACATGTTAAAAAAACTGGATCTAAATTGACCTCTTTGTGTTTGCATATGTGGAGGAATCTTCCGTCATTGTTTCTTCTGGGTAGATTTTCTGTCTTACTCTCATTCTGAAGATTATCCCCATTCTTTCCTCAATTCGACAGGCATCATGTCACGCCATTACAGTCCTGCCAAGAGAAAATGGATAGTAATTTCTTCTCAGCTCATTATCACAGCTCTTTAAACAAACTGAGGGCTGTGAATTAATTATTTAAGTCAGGACCTGATTAAAATCCTGCTGTCAACAGGGAAGACCAGAGTGATTTTCCTGTCTGTGAGTAACCTCCTTAGTTACCTCCCAAGTTAACCCATGAAGGAGGAAAAGACTTGCAGTCCCCATCAGCACCACCTCCTGGGATATGGTGCAGGAGCATAGCAGGGACAGAGATGAGGCTTTGTGAGGTCTATCTGCCGGGCAGGGAAATGCTGTTCCCAAAGAGGCAGACATGGGTCTCAGGACAGCTGTATGGTCTTCATCCTGGGATGTCTTCAAGATCTGACTGGATAAAGTTCTGAGCAACCTGGTCTGGTTTCATGGCTCACCCTGCTTTGAGCAGGAGGTTGAACTAGAGACCACAGGAGGTCCTTTCCTCCCTTGAATTCCCCTAACATCCTAAGAGTCTTATGAGAGGAGATGTAGATGAAAAATAGCATGACAGGACCTGAAAAATAAGAGTTTGGGTCAAGGAGATGGGTTTGTGAGCATTTCTCTGTATCTGGCCCTTTCTCCCTTTTGAGTGTACCACTTTGCAAGAGGAAGGGTCTTTCAGACATAGATCCTGTGAGCTGTGATGACTGATGGCATCAAATTCCCAATGAAAACAGTATATCTGAAGCACTGGACCTATTTCTTCCCTGTATCAATGTCACAGCAGCAATACCTGGGCATCTAGCTGTAAGGTGGGGCAAAATAAATGGGAAATGGGAAAGATGGGTGGCCTCTAAGAATGGTGCTTGATGTGTCACACAGGTGTAATGGGATGTTCTGGCATTTCAGAGGCCTAATCCTCCTTTGGCAACATTTCTAGACACCTGAAAACATCAGAGGCAGATCCTGAACCTGAGTGCTTGAATGCCTTTATCAGAGGCATTTTAACATTCAGACCCAGAGCAGAGCTCTATGTAGTATCTATGTATCTTCTTGTTGCTGTTGCCATGGGTCTCTTGTAACCAGAGACTATAGAAAGGATAGATGAATAATCTAATTTGGTGTCCAGTGTTCCTGGTGATATTTTATCCTCCAGAGGTCACACTGTATGTTCAGTCCAAGATAAGCTATCAGGTACCCATTCTCAAATGATGTAGTTTGAAGAAAAAGCCAGTGGGTATCTGAAATACACATGAAGTAGATGGTTTAGGCAAAGAGTTTGTTTTAAAATATTCCAACAAGAGTACCGGAAGCTATATGAGTGGTTTCTGTGAAACCTCTGGAAGCTCAACACTCTTTAAACCATGTATGTCCTTATTTAATATGAAGCACATAACTTTCACAGACAAATTTATTTTTGCCTGAAGACTGTTTTAATTAACGCTAGTAGGTCATTCTGACTAAAGAAAGAAGAGTGAAATTGCTTTCATCTTAATCTTTCACTCTTTAATTAGAGATTGGCCTGAAACCAAGACAGGAGCCCACACATTTTCACACCCACATATACTGTGGGTAATTATTGAATTACACGCTGTATCCCTCTGCACACAATACAAACAGTGATGGCTGTGACTCTTGAGAAGTGCTCTGTGACTCCAATGCTGTAAAACTCGCCCCTATGTCTCTATAAGTTTAGGTCAGGGGTTCAAAATTCAAGTTCAGATTTAAAGACCAGTATTTTTTAGATGTAGCCTGTTACCTTGCCTACAAAATCAGAACCAAACTCGGATTCAAACAAGTCTTAAACTAAGCCTTAGTTCAGCATTAAGTGCCATACCAATGTGAATGACTGCTGTGGTGATAGGGCACTCAGGGAAATCATGTTTGCTGAGCAGCTAAATAGAAAATGAGTAACACAACAGATACACAGAAATGAGAGAGAAAGATCATAAGGGTATCTGGACTTAAAGAATAGGAAGAAGATCAGATAGTTGCCAACTAGCAGCAGCAGAAGGAAGTTAGCAGACCTCTCTGTCGGCAAAAAACAGAATTCACAAATTGCAAGAAGGGAAATTCCTACTGGACATATGGGAGCAGGTTGTCCAGGGAGATTGTGAAATACTCATCTGTCAAGATTTCAAAAGTTCAGTTGGACAAGTGTCTGAGCAACCCAATGTAACTCTGAGGTTAGTGCTTCTATGACCAGGAGATTACACTAGATGAGCTCCCAGGGGCTTCCCAACCCAATCTTCCCATGACTCTAGGAGGATTAAGCAGTTTGTGATCAGGAGATTACTCCTGGCAGTGCTGTGTGAAATAGTCATTGTATTTCTGTTGCCTGAAGTAGCACTTGTCTTCTTGTCAGGTATGATTGTCCATCAATTCCCTGTATTCACACTGGATGTCTTATCTGCTACTTCCTAGCTTAGGGAGTTTCATTGCCTTCTGGGAGTTTCATTGCCTTCAGTGAAGTTGAGATGTCAACCAGGGAGGCAGAGGACAGGGTCAAAGAGCTGTTTTCTCAATCCAGTGAGTTGCCTGAAGTAGCACTTGTCTTCTTGTCAGGTATGATTGTCCATCAATTCCCTGTATTCACACTGGATGTCTTATCTGCTACTTCCTAGCTTAGGGAGTTTCATTGCCTTCTGGGAGTTTCATTGCCTTCAGTGAAGTTGAGATGTCAACCAGGGAGGCAGAGGACAGGGTCAAAGAGCTGTTTTCTCAATCCAGTGAAGCGCAAATCCACATTTCTGAGCATGGACAGGTATCAGGGAGGCTGCTTCAGTGGAAAGTATCAGGATGAGTCCAAAACGAGACTTCACATGTGGAGTTAGGTTTCCTGGTGGTGTTATCAGCTGGGTGAGACAGACACACACATATTGAGTGGAAAGGTCCCTATTCATGCTGTGTCTTTGTAGTAATTTGCTAGTATAGACATACCTTTGCTCCTTCAATGCACCTACTCATTATATGTGTTTACATGCATGTGTAAATACACAACACAGATCTAGTAATTCCCCAACACCTTAGTCTTCCTTTCTGCTCCTATATTACTCATGCCACCAGCTTATAATACGCAAAATTATGTGAAGTGCCCATCTTATCCTGGTCAGGGCCCACCAACCAAGCTCCCAGTCAGACTGGCTGTTCTCCCAACCTGGGCTGAAGACTGTCACCCCAATCAGCCACAGATGCCCCACATCAGATGCCAGTTGCTTGTGCCATCTTCCTATCCTCTTCAACTCATGGCATCCGATTAATTATGATTCCTGTAATTGTCTTGTTATACAATGAGGAATGTTAATCCTGGCTTTTGTTCTCTCTCCCAGTTTTATTAAGACCATAATAAGGAATATTTTTTTCTTGTCCCCTGTCAATTTAGACTTCACATTTGGGGAAAGGGATGATCTCTCTCTTGATAACTGTGACGGCTGGTAGTCATCAAGACAGCGCACGTAACACTGAATAAGATCAGTGGAGTCTTTGCTTTGAACAGCCCTTTTTCCATGTCCATATTTGTTCATTTTCACCTGAATTGTAATAGGATCAGTGTATGAGTTTTAGAAGCTGTCTGACATCACTAATCTTCTCTGTGCACCTGCCTGCTGGCTGATCAGATTACAGCTCTTTTCTGCTCTGGTACTTAGTGCATGATAATAGACATTTCAATATCCCATTGCATTAAAACATAAGAAGAGCTGCCCTCAGTCAGATCAAAGGTTCAGTCATCCTAATTCCAAAACTGAGCAATCCCAAAAATTTAAGGGGAAAGAGCAGAGGAGCAGGGTGAGTATACAGCATTTCAGCAACGTTTGGTAAATGTTTCAATGTTCTAGAAACTGGCCATGGGTGGAGGTCATACAGCACCAGTTGTAGAGGGTCAGGTTTTAACAGCCTCTAACGGCTCCAGCCCATCAAGGGCTATGGGTGACCTGCAGCATCACATCCTGCAGTGCTGCCGGGTCACACACCCTGTGAACAAGCCCACTTTCCCATTTGCACATGGTGTTCAGACCAGGCCATTATCTGCGCAACATTCCACTCCCATGGTAATGCAGCATTCTGTCCTCCCAAAAAAGACTACTCAGATCTGGTTCAGTTGACAGCATGTCACCCTAGGACACCTACCTCAAGAACTCATTCAGAAACAGATTTTATCAGACAAGTTAGACTGGCCCACAGTAGAAACAGCTCTACCCTCTCACCACGGCTCATGCTGCAGCAGTGGGGGCCATATAGGACATACTGTACTAGGCCAGGCCATGACAAATTATTTCTAGTTCATTTATAAACAAAATCCTAACTAAGCAGTGATGATGTGCCCACTTGGTTGTAGATGCATCTGAAACTGTCATCGCTGTTGGGGTGGGGAGAGGAGAAGAAAAGAGCGTTGTAAAGCAGGCAGTAGGAACTTCATTGCTCAGGAGCCCTGGCCCCAAATTGGCAGGGACCTGTGCAGGGACTCAGCAGGGAGCAGCAACCCTCTCCTGAGAGCAGTAAGCTATTTAAACAGCACACGCTGTACTTTGGGTTAGCAGGAATTTGCATAACTGTGCAAAGCCCTCAAGCCTGGGATCTTCTAAATACATGTCACATTTATCGGTATCTAAAACAGAAGAACATCCCACCTACTCTTCCCAACCCCATAAACCAGTGTCATTAGTGAAGTCAGATAACATCATCTGTTTTTGTAAGGGTTAAAAAAATAATCCTCAGCCACTGCCAGGAAGAGGCAGAACTAAACAGGCAGCAAAGAGTTAGAGCCAGAACAGAGATATAAAGCTAAATCAATCATCAAAACGGACCGCAACAAAAGCATATACATACAGAGCAAGAAAGAAAGCAAGAGGGCGTTTTGTTTGGGTAGCTAATGTTCCCTGGATGAGGAG